AAAAAAATTATAATAAAAAAAATCTAACCAATAAAAGATTTATGTATATATTTGGACAAATTTTGAAAAAGTAAAAGAGATTATGTTAAACAAATAATCTGCTTGACCCGGTCTTATTAATAGAATTAAAATCACAAATAAATACTTACAATTATTTATCTATAACCTTCAAATAAAGCATGAAGTTAGTAATCAGAATTGACTAAAATTATTTGGTTGATTAGTTAGTCAACTAATAATAATTTAGTTAACTAAGAATTGATTAATCAATTTGGCCAAAATTATAAATTATAATTCTGGCCAAAAAAATTCAGTTAAAATTAATTACTAAATAATTAGTTGCTTTTTAGTTAACTAAAAAAATTTACCAACTAACTAAATTTTCAGCAATTAATCGACTAAGCATTATCACTACATAAAGTATAAAGATGATTTATAAACATTAAGAATGAACATAAATACTTATCTATAAATACTTAATTGCAAATAGTGTGTGAATATAAAAATGAACATATTTACTTAATCATAAATACTCTCTAAATACTTATATAATTAATTATCTAATATCCTTCGAGGTGTGCGAGTAAATATAATTTATCAGTAGAATTAAAATGCTGAATATAAATACTTATACCAGGAATGGAATGATGAAATTATAAAGTGAATTATAAAGTGTATGGCTTACTAAAGAATTAAATAAAATGTTCTAATAATATAATATCTTATGATTTTTCACATATTGCATAGTTTGTGAATAGCTACTGTAGATTACCTATCGCTATAATTTTATATAATGCATCTATTGTTATTAGGTATTTACAATTTTTACAATTGCAGAAGGCAAACCTTATATCGAATTTAATAAGATGAAGTGATAAAACTTAAATAAAAATTAGAAGTTAAAAAAGATGGAATTGAAAAAAGTGCATGACTGATGAAAATTGATGAAAGATAATAGAACCGAAGAAAGGGGCATACCTGACGAAAAGTAGTTAATCTAATAATATATATTAATGAAAAATGATGAAATTAATAAAAACTGTGTATATTATAAATAACTGATTAAGTGTTATACAATCGGTTAAGATTATTGGCAACATAAGAAATATGAAATAAATAATGATGGCATAATTAATAAAGGGTCTAGTAGGTTTTCTCAGTAACTCTTAATCAACGCTAACTCTAAATCTAACCTTTCTGGATAAATGATAGACTAATTTATGAATATTTATATTTCACTAAATGTGTGTTGGTGAATTTAAATATACTCATATTGTACATAAGCGAATTGTTAACGAATTCGTCAGTTATGTAACTTTTTATGGTATATGTACTGTATAAACCTATTTCGTTCTCCAAAAAGTTGGCTTAACCTAGAGTTGATGTTAGCTAAAGTTAGATGCCGAACCCGAGTCTGTGATATACAATATTCCGTTCCTGGTTTTAGCGCGCAGCTACCTAATTAATAAATACGTACTATAGATGCCTGATGAAACTATTTTTGCTATTGACGAATTGACAAACCATAGATTTCGTCATTGACGATAAAAGTTACGCTACCAATCATTTTTACGACACAATTTAATCGTAATATTACTAGCTGCATAATGGTTGTATGCCATAAAATTTAAGATTCTGCACTGCATCACTAATTACTACATGATTAAAGCCATATCAAGATTCTGATATAGGTCATAGACCGTATGCAATTCCCAAAGAGAGCATTATAAGATTTATATTTATAAACGTTTAAATTTATTAACTCAAACCAATTCGACATACAGTATAATTATAAGACAAAAATAAAACTTAAAAATTGCTAAATTTAAAATATAAACACGTAATGTTAAATATAATTTTCTGAATTAATTTTTATCTCTATCTTCTAGGGTCTTTTTCCAAGCAGGTCTATTATTTAACCTATCCCACCACTTTTTAACATTAGGTCTATCATTCCACAAATCAGGAAATACTTCAGAGTAGACATAATAAGTAGTTGGACAATGGAAGAGATCAGCTAAAGAAAATTCACCATTTAAATAATCTTTTCCTTTCAAAAGCTTTTCATAAACATCTAAAACCTTAGCGAGATCCTCAGAGGCTTGCTTAACAACTGCAGAGTCCGGGGTTTCATTATTCCTTTTAGCACGTATTTCTTGATAAATGATTTTTGTGATTGGTGGGTCATAATACGAAATATCATAAGAGATGTATTGATCAACTAAACTGGCTTGGTAAATATCATTGGGAATTAAAATTGTGTCGCTATGTTTTCCTTGATATTTAGTTGCTAAATAACGACAAATTGGACGAGATTCGGCAATTGTAAAATCATCGTCGATAAGGACTGGGATTCTTCCACTGTAATTAATGCAATTTTTTTAGTATATAATTTATATAAGCATCTAGGCAATGTAAAATATTATACTTACAAAGGATGCTTAGTTGCGAGAAAATCTTCACTTTTTAAATCTTGAAAATTAGCTGGAGAATCAAGTTGGTAGGGGAGGCCTAGTTCATGAAGACATTCGATAACTCTGAGGGTATATGGCGAACGACTGTATCCAATGAGCTTGATAGTCATTTTTTTTTTTATTATTAGTACTATATAATATTGAAGAATTATCTTCTATTCAGGTGAGAAAGGCGAAATGGACGTGTATTTAAGTGGATTTATTTATGCAAATGTGAGGTCTTGATCCCTGTATTTTTTGATTACTAAAACACGTACGTACTTGGTTTCTAAACTTTTCTACTGGATTAGTAATCGTTGATGTGGGTACAGTGTATATATGTATGTACGTATCCATTCATGTAGAAGCGCATGGAGTTTTAATTATTAATCATTGTCGTTAAACCGGAAGCAAGAAAAACCTGTTCCAAATTATCCTTTAATAGTTAATAGAATCGGTCCTAAATTTAGCCGATGCAGGATCGAATTCCGAATTATCACATTTCAATCAATTTTGATTCAAATTAAAAGTGCAGGTTTCTATTTCACTTTTTACCCTATGTTGATAAAATAATTTATCGAGACTAATTTTTAGGGATGTTATAAGTCCGTCCAGTTAAGTTCCGGGGTGGTCCTTAAAAAGTCTGGTTCTGGGTTATTTAGGACTACTAGTTCAAACTCTAGTTCGTATCGGTTTAATATAAACTGAAGTAGAAATTTTGTAAAAGTAATTTCATGTGACTAGTGCGACCGGTTTTGAACTAGTCCCCTAAAAGTCCAGTCCGAATCAGCCCCTTAAAGCAACTAATTCTAACAGTCGAAGATTGACGACTCAATTAAATTGGATTTGTCAATCATAATTTATGTCTAAAATTATACAAAAAATTCAGGGGGTTTTCCTAGTCCCGAATAGTTTAGGTTTAAAATTTGGATTCGGTTTTTCCGAAACCGAAACTATAATTTGGTTCGGATTAGCATTTACTGAAACTAATTCTCATGACCAGCGTGAGTAAGGCTTTATTCTCATTAATCACGCTTTCCTTATGCTGTATTTATTGCTTTTATCAGTAAAGAGAATTAGTATATTCTTAATCTTTTATTCCCATATATGCTGTATCCCGAATGGAATATACTGACTAAATTTTTTTTTTTTATCTAAACCCAAACCCTAACCCTAAAGTCCTAATTCTTCCAAAATAATTTACAAAATTCACATCCGGGACAGCCCAATTCTGAATTGCAATTTGGGATACGACATATAAATATACATTATCTAATAAATATTTTATATTAATGTAAATTACAGTCTCTCTAAGTACATGTCCTCAAAGTGCAGCTCTAAGTTTCTTTAAATGCAGTGGGGCAGTACTGGTTCATAGAGCAATATGAATTTACCTCCTCTAAGGGTAAGAATTTTTCGATGCCGCTCACTTCACCGACAGTCATTTCACCGAAAGTTTATTTAGCCGACATCATATGGGGTTAGGGTTAGGATTTTATTAGTTTCAGGTATATATTTTTAGTAAATTGTCACTTGGCGTGATGTCGGCAAAATGAGCTGTCAATGAAATGATTGTCGGTGAAATGATACGGACCCGAATTTTTTTAGGTCCCGGTAAGCAACACTTATATAAAATTAACTATATTTAGACTCCCATATAAATTATGAAAAATATCTACTGACAACTGTTAATGTAGTTGCCAAAGTCGAGGAATTTATTTTTTATTATTACTATATGCATTGATTATTTTCAAAATGAATCGATTTAGAATTGATTAAATCCAAATCATTGGAAAAATAAAATTCATTAATGTAATTGTAGCTTTTTATTAAATTTCATGAAGTTACACACCATTTAAGCAACAC